GTTGGTAATAAGTGAAATGCATTGTTTTTAATAAAAGCTGTTGACCTCAAAACTACCTTCAAAAGAATCTTTAAATTATCCATATAAAACAACGATAATATTATTTGTATTATCTAATTAATTATTAGTGAATAAAGGTTATAGTCAAATATTATGTAATAGCTTATAGAACAGGCGCACACAAAACATTTGAAACTATGGATCCAGGATGTCAAAAAAATTATATGTTTTACTTTACTTTATTTTATCATAAAATTTAGCTCAGTCATATAGAATTCTAAGAAACTAGGTTTAATTTAAAAAAATGATAAACTTTTAAGACTTATAAATTTATGATTGGTTATAAATTAGATTTATTGAGTCAACTAATACCTGATTTAGAAAAAAAACAATAACACTATGTATTTATCATAATGGAGAAATTATAATGATATTTTTTTCTTTACAAATTATTCAACGATAAAATAATATGCACTGAACTTTTAAATGAAATTAATTTCAGAATATTATAAATAAATTCTCGTTCTACTAACACTTATATGTCGATAATTGTAAATTTGATTTTGTCTTAAATATCCTAATCAACCGTATATTAAGATTTAGTATAGTATAAACATAAATAATTTTGATTTTTCTAATAATAATAATAATCTCTTAAAACGTTATGTATATATTATTATCGAATGAATCGTCTATAACGTTGTATTTATGAGTTGAACTGTAGCTACTCTCTACCTCCTGGACGTTAGAAACTATAATAAATAAATAATTTACTGGTTGTGATACTAGTTATTATTCAACATAGGCATAATTTATTATTTATTATGTATTATACTCAGTTTAATTACCAAATATTATTGCTGTATGCATTCATTGGCGTACATTTTTGCTAAAAAATTATTTTATTTTAACATTTGTAACTAATTATTTATCATGACACAAATTGATTTCAGATTGTAGCCACAAATGCCACATGCGTATTTATTCATAAATCATAATATTATTATATTTATATAAATATTTGCATATTATTAACTAGTATACGCCTATTTGATTATTATTTTAATTATTATTATTTTAACATTATACATTTGTATTGACTCATTATTTAATTTATTAATTTTACCTTTGATTTAAGGGAGAACTTATATCTTTCTGGATGGTTGGATTAACCGTAAGGTGAGCGTTCATAAATATTTTATTGTTTAAAAAAAACTAGTGTTCGAAAACTTCAAATTGAGATTCACTCAAATAGTTTTCAAATTAGAAATCGATTGATTTATCTGTCGGATAATAAAAAAAACTCGTGCAATTTCAATACAAGAGGGTCAACTACCTGAAATATGGTAAAATTCATTATAATGGTATTTTTATGTTGGGAGACAATTCAAGTAAGTAAAAACTTTTTTTTAAAGTATTCACAAGAGGCAATTTGAGTGTTCCCTATAAAAATAAAGATTTAAAATAAAAATGTTCTAGTTATTTTTTGAAAATACTATGGGCAATAGTTTAGGTTTAGGATGCACTTTTAATCTGTATATGCATACAGCCAACATTATTTATCCATTAAAACAGGGGTTTTTTCAGGATTACCTTAAAGTTTAAATTACGCCATTAAAATAATTATATTAATAATAATATCTATGGTAAAAAGGCTTAGCGTAAATATATTCCCACCATCACCCCTTAAACTTCTGCGTCTTTAAATTCGGTTTTCTGAAACAGCTGCGTTGACGAATAAGATTATTCTAATATATTATAATACCTAATAATAAGTTATAAACAGTTTGTAATTTGTATGCACTGTAGATTCTTATAGGTATATACATGATACATGAGACCTTTAATAACAACAAGTGTAAATTTGGGGTAAAATATTTAAAATTAATGGGTTGCAAAGTTTATATTTTTAATCGAAAATTCTCTTCATTACATAAAATATTATACATTTACATAAAGTAATCAAGTTAATATTATACATTCAATTCCTGTGCGTGCGTTACCTGCAAGCAGTGAGGCACGGGATAGGTCTTATGGAAAATCATCAAGTTGATAGTTACTATCATAATATTATATAATATATTATTACTTTTCATTTCATTCGAGATGACTCGTCACAAAATTTATGCGTGGCATGAACAATTTATCACATTATTGTGTTATACGTTCGCGTGCATCCAATTCAAGTGTGCTGAAAAAATGAAAATGAAAAATCTGGTTTCCATCGTATTTATATTTCTCACGCTTCCGCAGGGCATTAAGATAGGTATCTGCAGAACTTTTATGTGCTACCCATAAATATCAATACTACTCGTACTTATATTTCGTCCATACAAACGATAGGGCCCAAGGAAGTAGAAATTCTTTAAAAATCCTTGTATACAGATATTTTTTCAAATAGAAATATATTACCTGTCAATAAATTAATAGACAAATACCATTTAAAGCTTACTTGTTTTTTAAGATAGTTTTTTTAATATTAAAAACGAAAAAGTAATATGGTTTTTTTCAAATATATTAACAAAAAGACGGCGGTATAATTGAAACTTGATTGATAAATAGAACATCTATCATAAATAATTCTTAATATAAGCTTATTTTAAGCTAAATATTTTTCCATCTTTCTCAAATGCTAACGCCTTAATAACTTATCTGATAGCTTCGATTTAACAGAGTAAATATGTGTGGATTAGATCCTTGTCCTAGTGAGATCTTGGACATAACCTAACTTAATGGTTTTTTATCTATATATATATATATATTAATATCAGAAAGGGTAATGATTCAATCTATTTGATTAAATTATTAATTCCAGGAGTGATTTGTCATCTGCTGTAGTAGTATACTAGTATATAAAAATAATCAAGTTAATAATACCTATGTATATAATTACATCTTAAACACGTTATCCATTAGAGTACAATACCTACAATATGCACGTATTTATTTGTAATATTTATATATAATATATATAATTTATGATTATAAATATTACAAATGAAAGATTATTAACAACAAGAATAAAAAACTGGGAGAAACTTTACAATCAAACAATATTTTGTTTTTATTTTTCAATGTAAGTAGTTTTCTAAAAGTTCTCTTTGAATATGAATAATATTTTGCTTTTAAATAAAACCACAAAGCAGGGACTGGAACCGTACCGAAAAGAACCGGTATTGGAACCGAAACCCTTTGAATATTGGGAACCGAAACTTCACCGGAACCCTAAATTAAATTAATTTCAAAACCAGAACCCCACCGGAACCCTTATTTAATTTTGTTTAAACCATAACTTAAGCGAAACCGATACTTTTTTGTAAAGGTTTTTTATGAATTATGATTAATTTTGGTTTTGTAATAATTTTATTATTTTTATTTTTATTTGTCATTAATAAATAATAAGAATTATGAACTAAAAAAATAACTACGTAAATATATTATTATTATTATTATGAAAATTAATAATATTAGTATTAAAAATATTAATATTTTTTAAAGAATAGAAATGAACCCATATTTTTCTAAGTATAAAACCTAAACAAAAAACATAATTTTCATTTTATAAGAACCGAAGAGAAACCGAAATTTTAGTTTTTCCAGGAACCTCGCCGGAACCGTAAAAATCATCAAGGTTCCAGTCCCTGCCACAAATCAACATTTAAAATTGTAAATATTATAGTCAGATACTCAATAGTGTATCTAAAAGATTTTTCAGATAAACCCAAAAAACCCAAATAATAGATGGCTTCAATGTACATAATAATTTAAATAAACAATATATAATATTTAAGTATATTTTTTTATTTTACAACCAAACATCAAAATCAAATTAACTTCCAAAATTTAGATATAATATGCGAACTCATCAATTATAGTAGTAAGATATACATAATTCTTTACAATTAATATGAATATATTATATTAGAAATTATTCGAATTGTACTATGCAACTATGACTATCCATTATCTTATTAAAAATATATTTATGGTGATTTAAATTTTTGAAAAATAATTTATTTAATCCGTTATTAATTTTTATGTTATTTAATTATTGTTAATGTACTTTAATAATTTAACTCAAAATATAAATTTATCAAAAAATAAAAAATATTGCCCCAACCTTACCGAGCTATTATTTTATCGGGCCCTTTGTAGTGTTTGAAGACTAGGCCTTTTGGCTTAAATCTACCACTAATGATAACTGCAACTATACAACGTACTCATCCAGCATCGATCGAATGCTCACATAGTCACATATAATATTATGTTCATAATAAATTTGTGCGTGTATATATTATGATAATATACATTATAATTATTATACGTGCCAGTGTGCGCGTCTGTACGTCCATATTACAAGTAAACAACATATAATTTTTTCGGCAATTCTATTACACAAACACGTCGGGCCATCGTTGGGTTGAAACGAGTGGTGAGGCGGGGTGACGATATGGGGGGAGGGTTTTTTTTTGCCGTCATCGTCGTTGTTTGCCTGTCCGAAAAGACGAAGAAACGACCGGTCGCCGTTGCCTCAGCATCCGAGCGAAAGAAATCCGACAACGATATAAGAAAAAAAAAGTATACACGGAAAACGTGAAATAACGAGCGACAGAGTGAAAAGGATAGATAGATAGATAGATAGATAGAGAGAGAGAGAGAGAAAAAGAAAGAGAAAAAGAGAGAGACTGAGAGAGACAGAGAAATAAAAAGAGAGAGAAAAGGACAGGGTGAGTGAGTGAGATACCGAAAGACGAATAGACGGAGATCGAGCTAGGTGGTGGCGTGCAAGTATACGCGGGGCGACGAGAGAAAAAATAATAATAATAGTAATAAACCGTCCGACGACGACACACGGTGTTTCGTACACGAGATTAGGTGGAACTGCCGCGGCGCGCCTGGAGCGCATTAAATCAATATGGAGCCTGTGAGCGGCGGCGGCGGCGTCGACTGCTGCCCCTTACAGCCCCGCACAGCGTGCGCGACGCCGTTCAGTGTACGACCGCCAGTCGTCCAGCGCAAGACTACGCCGCCGCCTCCGATCGTTCTCTCCCGCTCACTATATACCTACTCACGATCACCGCATACACACACACACACACACACACACATATATATATATATACAACCGTACGCGCACTCCCTCGCTCACTCGATCCCTCGCAGTCGTCGCTCGCTCACTCGCACACGCGCGCGCAACACGCCCGGCCGCTGAAGACCGCTCTACCGCGCATGACGAAATAAATAATAAACAATAATACCACCGCCGCCGATCACAACTCGCGTACATTATTGTACCATACAGCCGAGCGTACCGTCGTCGTTACGTTTTTATTACACTCCCGACGCATACGCGTACGCAGTCCGCCACCGTACCGCTCGCCGACCGACGTATACCGCTCCACAGCTCTTCAGCACACGCGTTTACCACCGACAGTTATCCGCGCACACACAAGGTACGTACCCGAGACGACCGTCTCGATAATAATATAATATTTTACATTTTACCATGTTCTATTATGATATAATGTCATTTTATACAATGTTTTACCATTATTGTTATTATTATTACTATTATTATTATTGTCGAGTGATGTGAGGAAGATGTTTTTTTTTTTTTTTTGTGGCGATTGCTTCAAGTCTGAAATGGGGGAGGGCACTCGCCGTGGGTACTTTAATAATGTGTTCAAAAATACAAACATATGACAACGTCGTCTTGTCGCTGTAAGACAATATTGTGTTCACGACATAAAAACCCAGATTTTGGGTATGGGAACGCTGGCTAGTCTATACAATATTTTTATTCGACTTGCCTCGAATTAAAAATTCTTCAGCACGTCACGCTACCTTAAATGCTATTATTATTATTAATTTACGATTAAGCGCATTATTGCTATAGACAATACCGATACATGTAATAATTATTATAAATATTCATATTACAGTGGTGCGCACACGATGAGGTAGGATTAAGGGGATTACAACCCAACCACCCCTAAAATAGCTTCCTTCGTGAAATCTTCTCTACATATGTATGATTTGAATAATTTCGAGAAAATTATTATCAACAGCACAACCCTTTCAGTGCACCACAACTACAGCATAATATTACCATATATTCTATTGTATTATATATTGTGATTATTTTCCACTTTTTCGTCTATGTTTGTACTATTATCCGTTGTGAGGGTACAGGTGCTTATGCTTATGAAAGAATGTTTCAAGGGCGTAAGTCCGAACTAACGAACTTGATATTTTTGAAGGACGCGTAGATCGTGGACACCTTTACACGGTACGATATTTACATAGAATTCATAAAACTCCCTCGGGAGTCGGCATGTATCTGCAGTCAAGCAGCAGCCTATATTTTGTACAGTCTAAATCGTGCTCCTTTAGGCGAAAAAAATTTAACGTATATACCAGCGACGTTATGATATATTTTATTCGCTGTCACGTGCCGATCAGACTTTGTGCGCGCTCGTGTTTTTCTCGATGTACACTATACGTTTTATCAAACAGAGATAACATGTGGCCGAATCGCCGATATATATATTGTACATTTTAATATTATAATGTATTTTTCAATAACACATTGCAGCGTGTTTTTATTAATCATGCATTGCACAATATCGCAAGTATTATAATGTATTTTATTATACGTACTTCAAACAATAAACTGTACGCATCTATGTTTAATATATATATATATATATAGGCATATAACAGTGGTCTAATTAAACGGAAAAGTCCATTCGTGTATAGAGATAAAGTGCATTTCATCATACTACCCGAAACAATTATATTATTACGTCTGTATAAATAAAACGTCGAGGTTAAACGGCAATGTAATGTTAAATAGCAGAGTAGATACCTGCCCGCACTATAATATGGTCTGTACTTACATACTACAAATATTTAGAACAATATTGAACTGCTATTGACGATGATAACGTGATGTTTTAAAGATCGCCATTTGTTCCGCTCTAAACGAAACATAAATTATATATATATATTAACTATATACGTTATAAAATATTAATTAAAATGTGATACCACCTATACTATGCGGTGCGAGTCCTAAGTACTTATCTGCAACCGTATTCGGTTTTCTAAACGTCTAAAAAGTATACAATTATATTCTTTTACACGCTTCGACGATGCTGTTATGACTATACTTCGGGTAACTAGATGAGTCTAATTAAAAATATAGAATATTTTTAATAATTATTGTTTAATGATATAGAATCGATATCAAGGACTAAAATTGTGTATAGTACGGCACACTTTATGTAGTATGAAATGCTAATCGAGTAGTACAAAAATATGCAATGGCCTAATTGTTTTTTTTTTTCATTTTATATTTGATTAATTGATTTATATATATATAGGTATATATTAATACATGTTGACATAATTTGTAAAAATAACTTTTTTGCATACCTAATATATAATATGTTATAGAAAAAACGCGAATTACCTACGATACTTAAGCATAATATAAAATCTCGGCTTTTACCCTAGTTGCAACCAACTTCATTTGGACAAAATCACAGTAATTTTTATTGTAAGATTTTATTATAATTATTAATGAGTACTTAATAACAATACGTAGTCAATTTATCGTTGTTATTATCGTATTTTATCTACTTCTTGCTAGTTGCTATACAGAATATTCATTATTTAATTGGTAATTGATATCCCAAACGGGAGGATAATAAAATTAATCATGTATGTAAATACCTCAAAAACATATTTTTGTCGTATTTTTATAATTAAATGTATTAACTTTTTTTATTCTTGAAACTAGCTTTATACCTAATATCATTATATTTTTATTATTATTTATGCATATTTAATCATATTTAATTTAATTATACTTGAACATTAATATTTAATTTATAATTATTTATATTAAATATTATAGTTCCTACTAACTATAGAATTATACTATGACGCTACAAATTTTCCCAAATAAGGTTGGTCTTTATAGTTGGTATAACTAGGTTTGCCCGGGTAAATCCGAAATATGACATTTTGCTTAACTATCGTGAAAAGTTTGCGTTTTGCCTGGGCATTTCGAAGGTTGGCCCATAACATATATATTAAATATATTAATTATTGACTATGTATGTATATATAGATTAATAACGTACTATATTATGTTATTCATATTATAGAAACTTTGACTAATTCATATTTATATGTATGGTTTAAATACGTTTTGGAGACATGGAGAACAAAACATCCGACGGTTAAAATATATATTTTAGTCTTTGACCGGTATTATATATAACTGTTTATATAATTTAGGAGTACTTTAAAATTATTACAAAATCATCGTCACAATTATATTATAACATTAAAATTTATTGATGATGGAGTTAATTTTCTCGTACAGTATATTTACATGTCGATAGTCTATAAGTATTGTTTTTAGACGAGTGAGCAAAAAAGTGTTTTATCTACAGATTGTATATTATTATGATGAAGTAATAATATCATACGTATTACTCATACATCAATATCGTAGATAGGTACGTATAAAATGATTAGCTCTGGCTAAAAGTCGTGTACGATTTATTGCTGAATTCGTCTGTGGGAAAATTATCAGACTGCATTGAGGCACGAAAAAACCCATAATTAGTAGCCGCTCCCATATATTATACAAAGAAACGTCGAATATCATACGCATAGTATCGGTGTAATGAATAAACATTATATCCGGATTATTGAGATTTACGGCAAGGATTACGATAGTAGCTATATGCTTTTATTATTTTGTCGCATTTTTCATATACAATAGCACACGTGATGTTAGATATCTAGTATAAATATAATGTATAAATGCTCTGGAAAATCATCAAAATATATCGCGTCAAATATATCTGCGCAAGCCGCACATATTTATACCGCAATAGCGGAGAAAAACGCCTTCGTACGCCCTCGCCGCAACTGCAACATTATAATATTATCCACATGTGAATATTGAGACCAGCAAACGCATATACACACACGATCGCCGCGATGAAAACAGTCTGAATATAAATGTGTTACATATGCATTTATTCTGTATAGTATATGTATATTATATATTAACAGAATGATCCATTATAAGCATGTTTTCACCCCCGTGTTTTTCTTCAATAATATAACAATTATTTTAAATTTGATTTTGAAATTTTAAATATTTATTTAAATGTTAAGACTTCAATTTAAAATTCTTAAGATTTTTTTGTATTCCATGAAGATACAAAATTTTGTTTTTCAAATGAAAATCCTTTTTTACTGTGAACTATTTAGTGAATAATTTTCTGAAAACATCGACGTATCAAACTCAGGATTGTCTCTAAAATAGAACAAAAAGTCTTCGTGAAATTTAAATTATGATATTTACCAAATCTATGTTTGAAAATTACAAAGATCAAAATTTGATTAAATCCATTATAATAAAGGTAGAAATGATGGATATGTATGTTTAGTGAACCACTCTGTACATATACAGACTTCAGCCATACATAAGCGACATAAATTATAATAAATATATATGATTCGACATGTGTGCTCTACGACGTTTGTGACCATCGACATAATGACGAACATTATTATTATTATATTATTATATATATCATATATATGTATGCTGCGTTCGCTGCAGCATCTGTTCGGTTCGGTTACTGGTCCACATCGAAATATTTAATACAATAATAATAATATAATGATCAGCATTGGGAAGATATAAGTATATAACACTAAAAGAGTTACTTTTTAGCACTTTAATATTCACTTAAAAAGCTAAAATATGCTTAAACATAAAAAAATAAAATTTATTTTTATTCTTTGAAATATATTTTTATTGTAATAAGTTCATGTACAGTAGAATATTTATGGTAAAATACGATAAATATATAGTAGATTTAAGGTACTCAGTGCTCACAGCTCAAGTTTTACGTACCAACTGTTATTTACTATAAAAACGTCAAACTATTTATTTTTTAATACAATTTGTTCAACATCAACGGACGTTATTGGCGTGTACTTGAAAAGTATTAAATCATTTCAATTCAAATCTTCAGGAAGACCATATAGATTTGAATATATTTCTTCTTTAAAAGTAAAAAAAATAAATAAATAAAAAAGCGTTCCCAATATTTTTTAATCATTTCAATTCTAATTTTAAATATGTAATTAAAATGTAAATATATTTATAAGAATGTTATTTAAAAATCGGCAAAAATTAGCAAAACAAAATTTCCTGTACGACATTTGGGAAGAATGGAACAAATTATTATATCATAAATTATAGACGTTCTAAGACTTATCGAAAAAAGTATGTTTTTGGCAGACTTTCCGAGCCCCGGATTAATGATGTTTACGATTCGTATAATATTATATAATATGCGCTGGTACGTCCTAGGCAGATATCTGCAATCTGTTCTCATCCCCGCGCAACGACGGT